CACGACGTTATCCGCTATCGATAACATTGCATCATCGTGTGTCTTATCCTAATCGCGTCAATAAGAGAGCTACTAAACCATTTGATCTTGTTCATTCTGATGTCTGGGGGCCATGTCCAATAACTTCTAAATTGAGATTCTAACACTTTGTCAGTTTTGTGAATGATCACTCTCGTGTTACTTGGATTTATCTTCTCAAGCCTAGGTCTGAAGTCTTTTATACATTTAAACTCTTTTATTCTGAAATAGTAAATCAATTCAAGTCTTCGATAAAAAAATTCCGATCTGATAATGCAAAGGAATATTTAGATGACAACTTCACTAGTTTCCTTAAATAACATGAAATCCTCCATCAGTCTTCTTGTGTTTACACTCCTCGACAAAATAGAGTTGCTGAACGAAAGAATAGACATCTCCTTGATATTGCTCGGACCTTGCTATTCCATCGCTATGTTCCCAAAAAATTTTAAGGGGGAGTTATATTAACAGTATGTTACTTGATTAATCAAATGTCATCTTCTGTTCTGCAAGATAAAATTTCTTTCAAAGTTCTATACCCCAACGATGATATCTTTTCGCTTCCTCTAAAGATTTTTGGCTCTCTATGCTTTGTTCATAAGTACAATCCAACTAAACAAAAGTTTGACTCTCGATCTATTAAAGACATTTTTCTGTGTTTTGTACATAACCACAGTTCAACTAAACAAAAAATTAACTCTCAGTCTATTAAAGACATTTTTCTTGGCTACTCCTGAAAGCATAAAGGTTACAAGTGTTTCTGTCCATCACTCAATCGTCTTGTGTTATCTGCTGATGTAACATTGTTTGAAGATAAAACTCGGTCATTCTAGTTCTCCATCTCTAATATCACTGGATGAGTATGACTATTTAATCCTATAAGAGTTATTGGTTAACGGTGGTGGTTCATCCGCTGACAATACTATTTGCGCTATTGGTAAAGACTCAGTTCGGTTTAACGACTCAATTCAATTTTATCATCATCGCTCTGCTCCTGCTCCTGTGCCAACGTCGATCTCAACACCACGTCCTCAGCCCGAAAAACCTGTTACCCCTTCTGCGGAAGACCTTCCTATTGCACTTCCGAAAAGGATACGAACTTGTACTTAACATCCTATTTCTAACTTTGTCTCCTATAATCACCTCTTCTCTACCTTTCTATCTTTAATTACTTCCCTCGACTCATATTTGGTTCCCAAGAATGTGTTAAAAGTCTTGTCTATTCCAGGTTAGAACCAAGCGATGCTGGACGAAATGAAAGCCTTACAGCAAAATGAGACTTGGGATTTGATCCCACTCCCACCAGGAAAGCGACAAGTCGACTGCAAGTGGGTGTACACTGTCAAGTTGAATCATAATGGAACTTTGGCACGCCTGAAAGCCCGACTGGTTGCTAAATGCTATTCATAGGTGTATGGCTTGGATTACATAGATACCTTCTCTCAAGTGGTAAAAATAACATATGTTCGGATTTTTATTTCGTTAGCAGCGATAAATTACTGGTCACTTCATCAGTTGGACATCAAAAATACATCTCTTAATGGTATTCTAGATGAGGAGGTTTATATGGTGCAACCATCAGGTTTTGTTGCTCATGAGAAGAATGTGAAGGTGTGTAGGCTGAAAAAATCACTCAATGGTCTGAAGCAGTCTCTGAGAGACTGTTTTGGACGTTTTACATCGGTTATTCAGGAATTTGGGCTTTGTCGTGCACAAAAATATCACTCTATCTTCTGGCGATTTCAGAATGGGAAATAAATTCTTCTAGTTGTCTATGTGGATGATATTGTAATTACAGAGGATGATGCTTCTGATATAACCAGCCTGAAGAAGCATTTACAGACACATTTCCAAACCAAATATCTTGGTTCCCTAAAATACTTCCTAGACATTGAAGTTGCAAAGTCAACGAAGGGTACTCTTTTATCACAAAGGAAGTGTCCTGGATATGCTCTCAAAAATCGGGATGTTAAGATGCAGAAGCAGTGATTCTCCAATGGATGTGAACTCAAAACTACTACCAGACCAGGGGGCGCTTCTTGAGGATGTTGGATAGTATAGAAGATTGGTGGAAAAACTGAATTATCTGACGGTGACCGGACCTGACATCACATTTGCAGTTAGTATTGTGAACCAGTTCTTATCCGTACCAAGTACTCACTTGGATGCAGTAATGAGAATTTTGAGGTACTTGAAGAAGGCTCTAAGACGAGGAATTCTCTACTCAAATCAAGAACACACCAGAGTTGCAGGCTTCTCTGATGCAGATTGGGCTGAATGTCTTTTTGATAGGAGATCGACTACTGGATATTGTCTTTCTTGAAGAAAATCTGGTGTCATAAAAAAATAAGAAGCAAAGTGTTATATCTCGATCCAGTATAGAATCAAAAAAAGAGCTATGACAAATGTGACACTTAAGATGGTTTGGATCAGAGACCTATTAATAGAGATTGATCTCCCTCCAGAATGTCCTATGAGTCTATATGGCGACAATAAAGCAGCAATTCACATTGGTGAGAATCTCGTGTTTCATGAGAGAACCAAGCACATTGAAGTCGATTGTCATGTAGTCCGCAAGAAGCTCGAGGACAAAATCATCACGACAAAACATGTATCGACAGTACATCAGTTGGCAGACATTCTTACAAAACCACTTGAACGAACACAGGTTGACTTTATTTTTAACAAGTTGGGCATGCATGATATATATGCTCCAGCTTGAGGGGGAGCGTTAGAAGAGAGTATTAGTTTAGCATTGGTTTAGTCCCACATTGTCTGTGACACTAACTTGTAACTAATCCATCTCTATAAATAATAAAGTATAGAGTGAGGGAAGATCTCTCTTAAGAAACTATTTTCTCTCCAAATCTCAATAGTTATCAACTATAAAGCACATACCATGACATTTCTGTTTCATGTTGGTGCTTTTTAGAATTACTTGTGTCTACATTATGCCATCTCAATGTGGGAAATTCCCATGTCCATGCTTGTACAGTTTCATCTCTCAGCTAGTGCAGTGTTATGATTATCCCTCATTATTTTCATTCTTCAACCATTCTCTGACTATCATGATATTGGTCCTTGATGTTGTCTTCACTACTTCTTGATGTTGTCTTCAACTCTTAGTGAAATTCTGACAATATCAGGTGCAAACGCGCAACATAGAAGTCGTGGCCTTTAATTAAGGCTAGGAAAAACACAGTTTGTTTCTTTTATTTACAGTCAGCAAGTGATGCATCAGACAACAGCCGTAACATGTCAAGAGACGTCCCAGTGTATTTGTAAGAAAAAACAACTGGAAGTTGTTATTTTGCTAACAATTTGGCACGGCAAGTGCCACGCTCTTGGATGTAGTTTGTGCAGGATGAAAGATAAATTGTACACCTAGATGGTAAATTTAAACACATTTATGTATCTTAAAAGTAGTGTAAACTGATGTGTATGGATAATTCGGACCATTCAGAACTACATCATTGATATCCCATTATAAATAGCTGATTGGCACAAGTATGTTTGAGCATAAATCCAAGAGTAATGGTCCAGTATGGTACTGGGACAGACATGCCTGCATGACCTTCAGGTAAACAAAACCAGAAGCACTTATTGAAGATAATCAATATCAAAGAAGAGCATAAAGCAAAGAGCATTGCCATTAAGCAGCAAAGAGTAATGTTTCGAGGCAAAAAAAGTTTAAAACTTCAAAATTTCCATTTATACTCTAGGAAATGTACATAGAAAATTCATACGCATAAAGTTATATAATATGTATCTAATAAAAGGGAGAGGGAAAAGATTGAGGATGGTCAGCCATAAATATTTGGTGCTGTGACTGGTATTATTGGTGCTTGGAGAATTCAAAATAATAGATATCTCAGTAAAATAGAACACAAGGCTCCATCGTTCCAAGTATGGGAAGGTTCAAATGTATGAACAGTACCCTGAACTCTGGAGAGGCTATTTTGTGGTTCAACCGTGATATCCAAGCAGTGAAGCAACCTTACCATTGAAGAATGCTCGCCCTAACAGATTTTCGATGTAAATAGAAGTATTCTAGATGGTGATGAAAGTCAAGTTTTCAATATAACAGTGGGAGGTGGCTTTTGTAGGTAGCTGCAATTGGTTGTGATCCTCCCACACTGCTTAAAGGAAGAAATGAAAAAAAGCAAAAAAAGAAAATGACAAAAAATCTTTATGTTGAGGCGCACACTTTACCAAAGCACAAAAGCATGCCCCTCCGACCTCCCCCTTTGACCCACAACTTAAGTAGTAGACATGGATTAACTGAGTTAGTTAAGTGTGGATTGGTCATATTCTAAAAATCTTAGTCCATTTAACAAAAGGGCTAGGAATATACCCAGAATATTCCTTGACAGAAAATGAGAGGATTATTTTAACCCAATGAGGTAGAATGTAGGGACAAATTAACAAATATTCAAGTTTGGAGGCTAAATCTGTAGATAGAATTTATTTGGGGGGTATATAGGCAATTTGAAAATTAAGGATGATAGAATATTCCAAGAATCTTTAGTGTAAAGTAACAACAGATTCTATTTGGGATAAAATATATGGGCTTCATTACAATATTAACAATTTGAGGAAAAATTACGAATCCAATATTGCAAAAAGAAAAACATTTACAATATACAAATCTTGGTCATAGGTTCCACCAGAATATGATATATTTAATCTTAAAAAGTGTGTCATAACAAAGTCAACCTATCAAATAAACCCGATTAACTTCCCAAGGAACGCATTCCTAATCTCCTAGTATACATGACATCATTGACGTGGGTTGACAAGGATATAGGTTTTGTTAACAGCGGAAGAACTCAAAAAATTATATTTCTGATTTACCACCAAATTTCTTTCCCCCAAGGACATCAGATTCATTATTTGAAATGAATACCAATCACAGCTCATGCTTCTGTTAGTTAGGAATGTCTTAAAGCTACTAATAAAAACCAAGCTGCACACCTCATGAAAGTCTTTAAAAATTCACTGAAAAGCAGTTGGATATGACTCGTAGACTTGTTTAACATCGTTAGATAACTGAATATCCACCCAATTACCCACCAACAAATATCACCCCAAGATATCTTGAGGCAGGCCCTCCAAAATGTTATATCGCCATATACAATCAGTATTTGGTAGCAAAGCATATAATGATGTTTCCAGCAGTGCAGCTTATAACTAGACATCATTAAACATAGTTCGCCAATATTCTAACCATTTCCAGGAAAGACTGATCAGCATGCTCCAGTTGGACTGGATATCATGATTTAATGCATGTAGTGGAATCGTTTTTCCCTCCTCTTTAAATGATGGGAGGACTACATCGACCACAAATTGTACATATCATGACCGGCTTCCTCTACAAGTTAGAATGCTGAAAACAGATTCATAAATGTGGAAAAAATTATCACAGAATAAATGCAAGGATGCCTGCCTTTTTTTTCTTTGCACAATAAACAAGGCAATTCAATTTAGTTTTAAAGATAGAAATCAAATTGCATATAGACTTCCTCAATCATTACTGTGGGTAAGAATCACACAAGAAGGAAATTTCAAGACAGTTTTGAAGAGAGAAATTAGATATCTTGCTCAATGCATTATTGTGGGCAGAGTCTAAAGGAGAAAAATCATGAAAACCAGCTAACCACACATTAATAGCATAATCGGGTACAAGTTAGATTAGTCTGATCTTATAAAGATTTTGCACCACTTATATAGTGAGAATTGGAGTTCTACAATTATCATAGGTTAGGCATGAAAGTGAGCTTACCTGGAAGGATGTTGCCAGGACCCATTGGCTGCTAAAACAAAAGGGATTTCAGATATTGCAGTTCTTATTGCAGTATCCTGTTCCATTAAAAGCTTTACATCATGTAGGATTGCAGAAAGAATGCCTGGCTCTGAAAGGAATCTTGACATATGGTTTAGCACGTGTTCCGTGTAAAATTCAGCTCTTGAAGCTTCTTTAATACCTACATAGCATCTTAGGATGCTCTTTTCCCTATCTGAATCTGTTTGTATAAAATTGTCATCCAGAAGATCGTCGTGTATACCATCTGGTTTGAGCCACTTTGAGGGGTTAGTTAAACATGTGAGCTTTCTGCTTCTGTAAGCCTCAAATATTGGAAGATGCTTGATAGTCTCAATATGCTTCGAATTCATCTGATCTGCAGAGAACCACTTAGACTGGAAAATAAAACTCCGAAGCTCATGCATTTCTCCTCTGGAGGCATTCAAGAACAACTCCTTAAAATCGAGTAAATTGGAACCAACTGCTTGCACAGCATTTATAATGCCACTGGCTGTTGCATCCTGAACGAAGTACTTTAACTGAGGGTGATCTAGTGGAAGATCAGACCTTAAAAAGACACATCCTAGTTTCTGCAATAAAGAAGACATGTTCTCACTCCATTCTTTATCTCTAATTACATATGAACTTTCAGAAAGCTGAAAGAGATGGCCACTCCCAACAGGCAGTATGGGCCATTTGGAAAATATCTTAAGGTCAGTGCATGAAGACCGCAAATAGCTCCACAGCATCCCAATCCATTCTAAAGTCGGTTGGCCTTGTTGACCAGGATCCCAAGACACCTGCTTAGCATGCTCCCATTCAGCTGGAAGAATCCTAGGGAAGAGTTCCACAAGAGAATGGCATGTCAACTCATACATATTTGTCAACCCCGACTGAGCAATATCTTGTAACTTCTTGAAAACTCCACTTGGAATTGCACGGTCTACAAGAAGATGTGGGACTGAATTCTTAAGAAGATCATATTCTATTGGCGATGTAATGAATATTCTTTCACCCTCTCCTCGCTTACTAAACATAGTGAATGAGCTAGTTGCCAAAGGAACCAAAGGTAGTCCAACCAAATTATCAGAGAATGATGATCCTTTCATGTCAGTCAAACAATACTCTAATGCAATCAACATCGCTTCCTTGTCCTTAAAACCACGCTTGCGACGAATCAACAAAGTCCTCAGTAGGCAGGGATTCAAATAATGTAGAGACGGGCAAGCCTCCATAAATCTATCTACAATTGGCTCAGAGACTGTGGCCATGGGCAAACCAGCATCTGATAATGCCTCAGCAAGTTCAACTGCCTTAGGAAATGTAAAATCAGGGAAAATAGCTTGCCTTGTTGAGATCCACTGTCCTCCTCTAGCTTTTGTATACAAAACAGGAAGTCCAAGATCAGCAGTTGACAGATAGAACTTGTGCACCATTGATGCCCATGGCTCAAGCCCTGAAGAAGTGGGCCAAAACGAAAAGAACAGATCAGATGGACCAATCTCTTCTGCAATGCAACCAAGCAACCGACTGTAAGCAGGAGCAACAACATCTTCAAGAAGGCAGATATTCCACTCGGAACGTGTCTTCCCGCCTCCTGCCATGTCATTACCAAACCAGATATCTCGTCTGTTAGATGATAATTCAAAATACGCATTAATATGTACTGGAAGGCTAGTAATGATTGGTAGAGGCAGGAAGCAAAAAGCTCGTCCATCAACATGTTTCCTGTCTTGCATTGAATTTTCACAAGATTGCAAAGCTCCTTCAGAATTCTCAGAATCATCTGCATCATTAACATTTACAGAATGAAGGTATGCGGCGACAGATGCCCAAGGAATAAAATTATGTGATCTGTTACCCAAGCTGACAGATTTATTTTTAGCATTTCCTCCACCAATACATTCACTGATCATCCAGTGATGTGCAATGCGGTTAGATGGACTTTCTTCCATAACTGCAACTTTCTGACAACACCATGGCAGATCTCTGTCCATGGTCTTATCCAACCTACTCAAAAATTGGTTTTTATCCATTCCGTTTTGCTGGATTCCATTAACAAAATTGAGCATCGCATGAAGTGGATGTGGTTCTTTCGCAAGCCCACTAATATTCTGTTTAGAAACACGATGAATGAGCTGCATATCATTTCCAGGCCCCTCTTTCACAAAAACACTGATCTTTTTGACATTACGAAGAAAAAGCAAAGTCTCAGATACAACTGTAGAAAATGAAGAGAAAAGCAACTCTACATCTTCAGGGGAATATTTTTCTCTCTTTATTTGACTTCTAGAAGCAGCCATTTCATTCCTGAGAGGAAAGCGAAAAAGGGTACCAGGAAATGATTGTTGTAAATCACAACCAAAGTGCAAGAATGGAGAGAACTGATCAGGAAACTGGTCTAAGATCCTTCTTCCGACAAATTTTATCCTCAGGCCTGGGTGAGTTGGAGAGATTCCAGGAAGATGGCATGCATGAGGGTCAAAAAGAACAATGTTATCCCCAGAAACAAAGCCAGGAATATCTGTAAAGTGATAAACACAATTGAAACCAAGCCCAAACCTCCCTATAGCAAAAGGTTTTTCAAGTTTGCTATCTTGACCAATACGTGAAATAGCATAGAGGTCCTGTGGACTAAATACAGAGTTGTTGAAACAATATAGGGCAGGACCCTGCCATTCAGCCATCTCCGGAGAAAGAATAGATGAAGTTCCATACTGAGTTTTATCCAACAGGAAAACCACCTCAGAAGCCCGTGCATCCTCTGCATTTTGTACAAGTTCAAAAAGAATCCCTGGCCCATCAGCATACATTTCAACAATATGTTTGAGTCTTGTTGTCAAGGCTTCGTGCTGTCCAAAGGCTTCAGCAACACCAGACAAGCTCAAGTTCATGGAATCAGAACTCTCAGCAAGCAGTAGCCGACGAAGAGAGCGAACACCAAGTTTTTCTGCAACATCATTTGAGATGTTACCATGGACGAAATTATGGACATTTCTCTTTGAATTCAGAGTAACATTAGATGTATTTCCAAATATGCCCTCTCCTAGATCAAGCAGCCAAGGAGCATCATTGAAAACTAGATCAGTTGATAGAAACAGTCTAGATGACGTATCAGGTAAATAAATCTGAACCCGCAAATCGAGAAACTGAACTTCAGCCAGGTGCTGTACTACCAGAATGGCTGCTCTAAGTTCTGGACCATCAAGTGGAGTGCAACCCTTTCTAGTAGCCATTCGACAAAGAATGTCGGCATAATCAATAGGATTCAAATATTCCTTCACGCCAAGTTCCAAGAACAATTCCTTAAAAACCGCAAGATCAACTGGAATGACTCGAATGTAAGGAGCTAGATGAAGATGGCCACTAAGGACAACTTCTGTTGCAGTTGCAAACCCATCTCCCACCCAAATCCACCGACACCCTTCAAGAACTGCTTTCACAATATCCATTTCATCTGATCCAATCAATTTTGCTAGCAGAGAGTATATTTTTGGCATTGCTAATGCGAGCTCTTGCCGAAGCATCTGATCAGTCACAAGCTCATTATTTTTTCCTAGTTCAAGTAGCTGGGCAGCAATTACACTCCCCCCAGGAGGCAAAGACCAACCCAACCCCAAAGAAAGGGCTGATGATGAACATTCACCATCGAGGATACGTGTGCTTGCAGAAACAAGCCACATATCTGACTTTACTCTAACGAGCTTAGGGGGAGCAACCATTGATCTCACTGAAGGCCATGGCAAAGCTGAATGAGGAGATGTTGTCAGCACTGGGCACCAGCAAATCGCTCTCAAATCAGTCCAGAATTTTTCAAGATCGACCTCCGAAGGCACGTCACGAGGCTTGATTGCCGTAGCGACTTTTGAAAACATAGTCCTGACCTTTGTTCGACTGTCAGGTGATGCATTATACAGCCATTTAACTGCGTTAACTTCAAGGTAGGAAAGAAGGACCTTACCCCGCAAATTAGCCTTAGACTGATCCTTGTACATTAATGATTCAACCTGGCGAGCACTTTGCATGATTGTGTCAACAGATACTGATGTCCTTAAACCCAGACACAGAAGCATATCCAGAATACCAGGATCTTGAAATAAGCCACAAGGAAAACTATCTGAATCTTCAAGAAGAGCATATAGTTCTTCTACACGAGGATCATAAAGAGATTGAGCAGTTTTTAATCCATCATTGATAGTTGGAACAAATTTTAACGTCCTTACAGACTCTTTGAATGATGGATCATCCACGCAAAGTTGAGGTAGCTCTTTAAGGATGGACAGCATGATTACATCACGCATATCTGGTCGCAGTTCACCTAGTTTATTCAAAACATGTTGTCTGTAAAATTTTGGCTTTTGCATGCGTTCAACTTTATAATATCTTAGCAAAATCTCTTCCACACTGAGAGATGTACAGAGGACAAACTCACCACCTAGAAAGTATTCAGGTATATCAGCAGGTGGTAAGTACTTCTCAGGGCTTTCCAAATTAGAAAACTGGGGATTATTTGTAACTTCCCCAGCATAGACTCTGAAAATAGGTAGCTTTCTGCAATTCTTTATGTGAAGATCAGACAGAGAGCAGCCATAATACCACTTTGGTTCAAGGAAAAAATGATAGAGCTCAGTTTTCTCATCGACAGATAAATCTTGAAAAAGAATCTGCAACTGATTATAGTTTGAACAAATGGACTCAAAAATTGAATTCAGAATACCAGCAGCATCGCCATTATACACATATAGAGATAGATCTGAATGTCTGACCACAAAGTTCGAATCTAGTATTTTACAGCCAATTTTTACAAGAATTTCTTTCATAGTATTGGATAAGTTTTCTGCATCAAGCAACTTTGAGAATTTTGAAGCTCTATAAAGGTGTCCTGAACTAGATGGCAATATAGGCCATTCACTGAATATTGATAAATCGTAAGACCGATCTTGAAGATACTGCCAGAAAAGCACAAACCAAGCTGCCATATGGCAGGTAGTACCCAACTCTGGATCCCATGAAACTCTGTTTTTAAATTTCCAATCTGCAGGGAAAAAACAAGGGAAGAACTGGAGGAAACTTTGACCATCTAGGAATGCAAGATTAGCATTAGAACTGCTGGCAATTTGAGAAAGTCTGCTAAATAAGTGAAGAGGAATGTTGCGGTCAATTACTCTATCAGGAACTACACTCAGAATTTTATATTCCAGCTCGTCACAAATAAAGTAGCATATTCCTTGTGAGGCTTCTGAAAAATTGCCAAACTTACCATTTGCTAAAGGAAGCAACGGAAGGCCTTTAGAATGTTTAGATACGTCAGAATCAATCAAATCACTAAGACAATATTCTAACAAAACAAACTTGTAAGAACTGCTTAAAATATCCAAAGTTCGGCATCTCCTGATAAAATTCCGTACTGCTTCAGGACTAACCATCCTCTGCGAAAAATTGGTAAAGTACTTGAAAAACATATCAATAAGAACCTTGGGCAAATGAACAATAGGCATACCCAACAAAACAAGAGCTTCACTAAGATCATTACTTTTCGAAAATTTCATGTCATGAATATATGCTTCAGCTGGTGATATCCAATTCCCACCTCCAGAATTGGAATATAATACAGGGTTTAAATAGATTATCTTGAAGATGCAGTCCACTAATATGTTCCATGGTTCCTCAAATGCACCACTTGGCCACAAAGAATAATACAGGTCAGTGGGACCCAGAAGCTTACGAGCGGCAAGCAGAAGCTCACTAAAGGCTGGAGCTACTCCATACTCCAATAAAAGCCTATTCCAGTCAGAACGAAGTTTCCCACCCCTATCCATGTCAACTCCAAACCATATGTTGCGTCTGTTGGAGGAAACTTCAAAGTAACCATTCACTTGCACGGTCAGCCCTGTCCTAACAGGCAGGGGAAGAAAACAGAATGCTAGGCCTTCCTTAAGAAGAGTATCCTGTCAAAATTAACTCCCATGAAAACAATAAGGAATCTTGACTTGAAGTACGAAACAACAGCAAAGACAGGAACAGAGCTAAATACAGGTGTTTACTTACCAAGCACATCCTAAAAAAACGAGCCATTTTGCTCATAAACGGATTTGCAACATTTACAACTGAAGAACGTCACTAATGAAATGTGACTGTAAAATGAGAAGGAGATAAAACAGAAGCATTGTATCTGTTTTTTTATCAACAATAAGGAATCCAAGGCAAAAGTTTATACACAAATAAGATCAAAAGTTCAGGCTTTGTCTGTTTTCTATTGAAGTTTGAAATCTTCGTGTATGTACCCGACTCAAACTCCAAGTTTGGTTCAGTATCAGGAGTTTAGTAGTTTCAGCACTTCTTGATTTTTGGTATCGATGGCTTAAATTACTTCAATCTGAAAATCAATATCAAAAACAGTATAAAACATCTTGATATGTTTTTAGAATAATTCTGAGGTTTATAATGGCTGTTGATGAAATATAATTTTAAAAAAAACTATGAGGCAGTAGTTTCTAAGAAATGATTTAGCAATGATTTTCTTGTTTACTCATTATGTTTCTTCTTCCTTGTTTTTCTCATTGCTATCAACTAATAAGTTTAATCTATGCGAATAAATTTTCATAAACCTAAGAAAAGTTTGGTTTTCAGTTGCTAGCTGACGCAGATATGATGATACCTATTAGACTTAATATAAAACTATAATCATTGATCCTCAACATAACTTCGGAGTTTTTGTGTAATGGTTAGATGAACTAAATTTAAGATGGTATCAGAGCAACCCAGGTTCAAATCCCACCGGCCACGAATTAAATGCGGATTTTCTAAAAATTGACACCGCTATGTGAGTCCAGATTTCGACCCATAAAAAAGGGCGCTCGACCTGCGAGGGCATGTTAGAATTAATATAAAACTATAATCCTTGATCCTCACCGTAACTTCGGAGTTTTGGTATAATGGTTAGAGGAACTAAATTTAAGAATACCCACTCATCATAGAAAAATTCACATTTTCCAGCAGTAAAATCAATGTCATAGATATGATGGTAGACAACATTACATGGTATAATAACGAATCCTGTAAAGGGAAAATATTTTACCTCAGATGAACTATCAGATATATGTGCAGCAACAGATGCCCAAGGCAATAGGTGAAGGTCATAATCTTTAGCAGCCATAGTAGCAAACATACCAAGTTTGCTGGAGGCTGATGCCATTCCTTGTACTATGAAAAACTTGTCAACTCTCTTCTCTAAAACTGTAGCTGAAGTGGCTTCACTCAGAAAATCCAGTGAAAAGAAATCCATCTGCGCATTAGAAGATGCCACTGAAGTAGATAATCTCACAAGTGCCTGCCGATGCCATGCTGTATTTTCATCAGCCGACGTGACAGAGCATGAGTAAATTTTTTGTGGCTCAGCTGCACCAGTATCCCATATGTACATTTCGACTGAGATGATGCTTTTAAGGAAAAGCAGACTGAAAATAGCTTCTTTGTAGAGTTGAGAAAACATATAAGAAATATCATCTGTGGAGTATGCTTGCCGTGAAAGCTTACTGCCAGCCGCTTGATCTGCACTCCTCAAAGGGAAACGAAATAAAGTTCCATGGAAAGGCTTTGACATGTCACATCCAAAAGCACAATATGGCATAAACTGATCTTTATAAAGTGATATGGCTGAAGAACTAACATACTCAATACGTTTTCCAGGATTTGCAGCCGAAACATTTGGAAGATATGCGCCCTGGGGGTCGAATAGGACGACATACTTGTTGCTCACAAATGATGGAAGATCAGTTAAATGGTAAACCGAGTTAAAGCCAACCCTAGAAAAGAAAACTCATCAAGTCATTACTAAGTTTGTAAGATTGGTGTTTGAGAATGATATATTCCGTTTAAACACTGATTTCACAACAAAAACAATATAGGTAATTACAAGACAAAGGAGTTCTGGTTTATTCCCATATACACAGAACTTAGTCAGAAACAGTATGTTTTATAGATAAAGTCTCTTGGGGCTATTTCATCACTTTTTCGTCTGTTGGCTTGACAACAGAGGAAGAAAGAGAAAGCACAAGTAAAACACAAGTAAAGAACAAAGGGAAAAAAGGAACAGCAGAACTTATAAAGAAGGAAAGGATTATCAATCATGACTCACTAGCTAACTTTAAACTCAAGAAATATCAGAGGAATGTATTTTCCAAAAGGTTAGAAACATTGGGCCACTTCTAACTTTGATCTATGATGTAAACAATGTGTATAAAATCCAGCAACAGATACTCATCTTAAATTAGATAGGTGGGATGCTCCAGCCCAGTAGTGGTAAAGAAACCGATATTGAAACAAAAAAGAATAGCCAAAGGGCAGAATACAACGATTTTATGTTGGCGCCTTACACATGAGCACATCAATGGTCGTGAATCATCAAAGAACAAATCAAGCAATTCCCGTTACAAATCATATATGCCAGAACTTAATTTAGCAAATGATCTACAGAATAACTAGCTTTTTCCAAAATAGACACATCATACTCTATTGTATATATATTTTTTGAGGTACAGAGCAGTTCGTAGGTATTGCACACGGATGTGCACGGACATAATGTCCAGATACATCAGGCACGTCAATTTTTGACAGGGAAAGTGAACTTAACAATGCAAATGAAACTCGAATTGGGGCCAGAATCGAACAAATAACTGGACTTAAGTGATGCTTATTGTCATTGGTAACTTCGGAAATGCTTGACTGTAAGTGTAGTTAAGGCCTAACACCCCCCTCAAACTGCTAAATACCCATTAACAACCCATTTGAACTTCAAAAAAGAATTGCCAATTCTTTTGGATGGGCTAGTGCTTGGGTTATAAGGAGTAGGGTGTCGGAACTGTGGTCATATCTCTCTATTTTTGCGAGTAGGTTGGTAATTACGACTCCATGCGACCGATGGAACATGAAGTCCCATCCCACTCCCAGCCAAATTAGTTATAGAGGTTATCGAACTGAATTCTAAACATCAGCCTTCAAATTATAAAACAATTGAGGAACAGAATTGAGGAGAGAAGTGTTGAATCTTCAAGAGAAATATATGACTGACGCATCACATGGCAACCAAAAATTATTGAACTACGGTATGAAGCTGGAGAAGAAAGAAATAAGTGGAAAAACCTCGATGAAAGGTAGGATTGTCAATTTGAGCATGTGTAAGAAAACTAAGTACAGATCCTAGTGTGTATAGATGTCAAAGGGCCTAACTCTCCATCAGATGATAAATGTACAATCACATGCCTTTCCTTACAAACTACCATACATCCACACAAGCTTCAAAAACGAATTCAAACATCAAAGCCTACTAGACTTAGGTCCCACATTGACCAAATAGGGAGTAAATTGTGGGTTTCAAAGGGATGTGCGTTCTCCAAGGCCTCTTAAAATTTATTACTGAACCATTAAAACTAAGCAAAACCCATAAAATTGGAAGCTTGAAGTTCTCCCAACAATATTCTAGTGCAAAGCCAAAGAGGTGACATTGGTATTGCAGTGTTTTGACTTGGACCAAACTTGTTCAGAACGGAAGAGGTACCACAGGGACTGCAGCGTTTGACCTGAACTCACAGTTGGCCTGCATGGACGTGAAGACTGCAGAAGCTTGCTGTTATGCTAGGCCATTTAGTCCCACATGGACTACACGTGGAGTTAATTCTAGTTTTATAAGAGATTTGGGTCCCCTCTGGCTCTCTCTCTCTCTCTAATAGTTAGCTGTAAGGGTCAAGTTCTCCTAGGTCTCTTACAAATGGTATCAAGGCCAACCCAATCTTCCCAGTTGCAAACAAGCAACACAAGAAGTGACATTGCAATTGAAGTGTTCACCCAGGACTAGTCTATTGCAAAAACCAACGGGGTGCTGCCAACATTGCACTGTTCTGCCAGAACAAGACTAGTGGAAAACCAGCCCACTTGGGCATCGGGACTGTGTAAGCGTGGTGGTATGCTAGGGTCCATTTAGCCCACATTGACTAAATGTGAAGTCAATAGTAGGAGTATGGGATTTGCGTTTCTTCCCTCTAACATCTAGCTTTTGGGGTTATTTCTCCCATATCTCTTACACATAGTATCAAAGCCAACCCACCTTCCAAGTTGCAAGCGAGCAGCATAGGTGGTGATGCTAGCATTTCAGTGTTCGCCCAGGACCAATATAGTGCAAAACTACTCCTGATTGTAGTGTTCGACGGAACTAGACTAGCGCAAAGCCAGAATGGACTAAAAAGGTTTTTTTTTTACGGTTGAGCTCTTTTCGGACTCTTTACATTAAAAAACCATAGCACTAACTAAAAGATTTCAATTGAAATCCTCACCCAAATCGGCCAGTTTTCCAAGCCTGCGCGTGCTTCCTACTATCCCCAATCCTCGAAATACTAACAAAATCATCCTCTGTAAACACAGCATCATTGTAAGCAAGAAGAGCCGGCCCCTGCCACTGAGCGAGCTCGGCCGACAGCAGCGACTCCGTGCCGTGGGACAGGCAGAGGCAGACTTTGGTGGCCCCCGCATCGTCGGCGTTCTGGATCAGTTCCTTCAGAACGGTAGTCCCCTCGGGATAATTTATCAAAACTTCGCGGATTCTTCTCGTGAGATCGACTCGCTGGCCAAAATCTTCGAGGAGCGAGGGCTCCATTGCTGGGGATGGGGAGAGAATTAGGGTTTGAGATGAGAGCGCATTGTAGAGAGAAAGCGCGAGAGAGAGAGGAGGAGGAGGAGGAAGAAACCCTAGCGGAGTTTGGGGTTGACGATGGAGATTGTACGAGAGAGACGAAAGGGGAATTTTTGTTGTCGTCGTTCGTCGTTCTGACCTTTGTTGAATGTTTATGGGGGACAAGCTTGGCGGAGGGTATCTCGTGATTTATTTATGGAATGTTTTACACATATACCCCTGAAACATTTGATATTTGCCATCTAAATCTTGCGATGTGTCCTGATTTACCCTCCCAATTGTACCAAATACTACGGATGAGCATTCCTCGGTGTAAACCGATTAAACCTACTTAATTCATAGAATTTTAATTTTTTTTTATTTGGTTTTACGATACGATCGTATTAGTTCGATCTTGTGAGAAAGAAAAACTCAATGAGTCTGATCTCTTGGTTCTCCAAATTCATGCTCTTTCTTTCATTCCGCGCATTTGTTCTATATATTTCCTTCTTTGTTTTCCAAAATCATTTTATCATTTTAATTAATTTGTTTCATTCCTTTCTCGATAGCATAAACCATACTAGGTTGGACGTACGTGTGTTGCACGTGATTAAATATTATAATTACATATTATTGGCTTATGTTCTTACTATGGCTTGGTTATGAAATGTTTCTCTAATTTCCATGTGAAAAAGTAAAATAATTTATTGTCTATACACCTATATAATTAAGCAAAAGTAATAAAATTATCATGACTAAACTCAAAATTACACGGTAAATTCGCATTAAGTACAGTTTTCAATAAATAGTACATGAAGGTAAAAATCCTTTTACTAGAAAATGTAATTTGCACAAATAATTTTATGGGCTTTTCGTCTTTAGGTTCAATTGTCTACCCTACTTTACCTTTAAATCCAAATGTTTTCTTTTGTACCATTGAACCCACTTCTTTTTATGTATTTATTTTTAAACCCAAGTTCCAAAATACAATACATAAATATGTAGGGCCCCTTAAATTTTTTTGAAAATCCAGGTTTACGTTCCCCAACCTTCCCTCGTTCTTTCTCTTCCATGCCCTTCACATAGCATTTACTGTGATGGTAGGGCGC